ACAGCTGGCTCTGCCTCTAGATAGGCAGAGCCAGCTGTCAGTCACGCAGCTGGGCGGATCCCGGCACAATTGTCGGGATCCACTTCAGCTGCGGCGTCTCAGTATACTATGAGCTGTAGCTCGCGGTATACTGAGCTTAGGATGACAGGAGGACGCTAGTTTGTGTCCTCCCGTTACCCTAAGGAGAACTATGGGGAAAAGCCTTAACCCCATAGTTCTCCTTTAAAGACCGGACTGTCAGCCGAAAATCTGGGTCTGAACGTGTGAATTGTGGCCGTCAGCGACTAGTCAATGTAAGTGCAGAACGGAGAGTGGAAAGACTGGTACAAGACAACAGAAGGGGAAAAGTGCAGTGTCAGATTCCGGCCCAGCGAAGTACTGATGGGGTGGTCATAATAATCTGGCCACTCAGTGTGTATATATATATAATGTAGCAGTGCGTGGCACGGAGGGGCTGAGAGGTTCCAGAATGCAAGTAGTTCTGCAGGGAAGAATCCGGCCTTTCAGTTTCTTCCGTTTTTTCCGGATTGTAGCCGGGATCTGGATCTCTGGAGATTTCTAAGAGTACAGGGTGGGATGAAATCTCCAGTCCTGGGGTCAGGTGTTGCCAGTCATCAGGTAGCTGAGAGCAGCCTCATTAAGAGCTCAGACCATAGCTCAAGGGAAGAGTTGGTGGGGTGTGCTGGTAGCACACGAGGGTCGAGGCAAGCCAGTGGTGTGTGGGTGTGCAGGAGGCACACGACCACAAGAAGACTCGCTGTGCATGCTGGACGCATGTGGAACAGCCAGGGGAGGCCGGGGCGGTGACTAGTGAGAGAGACTTGCTGGATTGCTGTGCTGCAGTGTTACAGGACTTATATTCCTAGGAAGGGATTTCCACAGGTTTGGAACTTTTTTTCCAACAAGTCGGTGAGACACATGTTCTATTATTTGTGCCGAAGGTTTGGACTGTCACTTTAAGTTAGCGGAAGATAAGCGTGTATTTTGTGTTCAAACCTTTTTGGCTGCCCTGCAAGAGGTAAATAAAAGCTTTTGTTTCATTCAAAACCCTCTGTGCGAGTGCTCTGTGGGCTCCCCGACGTCACAATACATACACAGTATAGC